TACTTACTTACTTACTTACTTACTTACTTACTTACTTACTTACTTACTTACTTACTTACTTACTTACTTACTTACTTATTTACTTATTTATTTACTTATTTATTTACTTACTTATTTACTTATTTACTTACTTTACTTATTTACTTATTTACTTATTTACTTATTTACTTATTTACTTACTTACTTATTTACTTATTTACTTATTTACTTATTTACTTACTTATTTACTTACTTATTTACTTACTTATTTACTTATTTATTTACTTACTTATTTATTTACTTACTTATTTATTTACTTATTTATTTACTTATTTATTTATTTATTTACTTATTTATTTACTTATTTATTTACTTATTTATTTACTTATTTATTTACTTATTTATTTACTTACTTACTTATTTACTTATTTACTTATTTACCAAATCACCCACCTCCTGGTTTTGCGCTGCCCTTTGAGTTTCATTCAATACTCATTGCATGTTGGCAAAGTAAATATAACTTCTCTATGTTCGAATTATCGGTTACATATCATAGTAAGTTCACAGTGGGATAATTATTTAGAATGGAGAACTGTCTCCATTATTAAATGCAGTACACAATAGCGCAGTAACATTTTCAACAATCGAGGGGTTTCTTTAAAAATGCTACAATGACACCCTTGCCATCTTGCAAACGTGTGATTGGTAGCATTTACCACAACAGGTGGTACAAAACGCATCTTGTCGCCATTTTTTTTAAAATCCAAACTGCAGTGTGAGAAAAATTATTGTTGACAAAATCTAGACAGTGGACAGCACGATGATTGTTGTGCTTCAATGAAAGCTACATTTAATGTGTTTGTCGTAAACCGAAATGCAGTCCCTCGCTGCTATCGGTAAGCAACCGATCACGTCATATGGAACTTGATATAATTCCCACGAATAAAGCTTGCATTTCGTCACCGCGTGTTCACTCACAACAATACATAATAAAAAAGCTTTTAACGTCCCAGTGCTATGTAGTAATATGTAATTATCTTTTGATACGGCACCCCCAGTAATAGACCATTCATCACAAACTAAATGTGTTAACTCAATTTTGTATTACTGTACAGTTTATTGGGCTTGATACAGTGCCGCGGGCAAGTCAAAATAGCATCTAATACATGTAGTTAGTTTTGTTACTAAGCAGCACACGGAAGACAGGTAACAACACTAAACTCGAGGAAGACATAAAAGTGCTCTCTGGCTTGTCCGTTTTGACCGTGGCTTAAAGAAAATCATTGTTCGCTATTCTTGGTATATCCTATATCATGTTCAAAATAAAGATCCACATCGAAGGATGTGTTATTTTATGAGTAACTATTCATTTTTGAGTGTTTAATTTTTTCCAGTTTTTCACAGGCTTAATGAGCGGTGGTCGTTGGGCTACGCATGCGCGAGATGTGGGTTCCATGTGATCAATGATTCGACTTTGACTGTTGCAGTCCAACGGGTACAAATTGAGAAGCTTAAGGTTACCGAGCATTACGTAACAGGGTAATTTCCTTGGCGTTTCTCGAAGTTATCAAAGGAATCACGGGCGGTAAGTAGTGCGCGTTCCGTCCGGGTCAAAACTAGTACTCGTAGTTCCCATTAGAACACAAATATCGCACATGCGCGTCGCGACGACCACTGCTCTTTAATATATACGTTTTAATGTTAACACCAAACTTAGATGAATTACCCCAAGTGGCCTATGAGACGACTGAATTTAGGTGAAGCGAAAGCCTCGAGTCCTATCTAAACAGCGAACATTTGTAAGGCAACAAATAATAAAAAAAAACGTAAAATGTTTAGTAATTAGTCGTTGCCTAACCCATTTCACCGACTGGATATCAACCAATGGATAACCCACGTCTTCAATTAACATCAACCCATGCCGTTGCTGTTGTTGTTGCTGTTGCTCAAGAAATGTTAAAGCTGGAAGGTCTTCATCTGCGCATGCGTGGGAATTTAGTCCCAAGCGACGATAACAACACACGCTAAAACGAAAAGGCTCTGGTAGACGCTTGTTTATAAACAATGATGGCCATCTGACGTATGCACAGGTGACGACTCCCACACTTTAACTGGTGACGAGTCTTCTCCGCAAATACCGGAGTACCATGGTCACTCATCCATTTCACCACACGGATCTCAACCATTTTCAGTTAAAGCGACTACTCGTTTACATAAGTTCTGGTAAAACACGCCTTTTGCAAGGATTGTTTAATTGCGCTGTTTCTAAATAGTTGAACGCCCTCTATAGTTCAACAAACAAATGTATGGCAATGACTCTAGGTGGCGCTATGATTATCTAAAGTGCCTAAAAAAATAAGAACATGCACTTACTGTGATCTGATTCCCTTTGCGAGACGCATCGGGAAATGTGTGTAAAGTATAAAGGTTCTGTTCTGACGTACAGAGAACATTATCGAAATGCGTTCCAGCCCAGAAAAGTGATAATATTTATAAATCATTGCATGATCTAATGGTAGTTTTAATATTTTGACAATAAACTTAGGTTAGTGCGAGGATTTTTTTTATGAATTAATTGTCCATAAACTACTTTAAATTTAGTCAATTTCTAGCCGCGACGTCATCGGACTGGGGAGTTCTTTCCCAGGCTTCTCGGACTTTGTTTTCGTCCTTGGAGCTTTGCAGCCGACCCTTTGTACATTTGGTATTGCAAACATTGTCGCCTAAATATTGGTGGCCACAATGGCACCTTTTCGTAGTTTCATATAACGTGTAACTTATTAAGCAAAAGGAGGCGAAGCACTAATGTCGGTACGCCGCAATGGGTCTTCACTGATGTGTTTGTATCCCAAACAATATGATATAGTCATAATGTTTGTTTTTTTATCAAGATGGAATATGAGACTAAATTATTTGAACTCGTATATATTTCCCACCGCTATCTATAGGGATAGACTGTTTAATATAAAGGTAATCACCTAGGTGTTTGGATATTCTGTAGTACTGAGTACGATCATGAAAATGTAAGCAAAGATAGTTATGAACGTTTCATGAATTTCAATTAATAGTTGACCAACCACAATGTCCCATTGAAAGAACTTCAAGCTGTGGAAAACGTTTATTGTTTTCTGAAACAAATATGATGATACAACTTTTAATTTCTTTTAAAGATTTTCCTCAAGCTTTAACTAATTAAAATCTCCGTATAAATACGAACTCCATATAGTTTCTGGTGCTTTGTTTTGGAGGTAGTCACATTTTACCGATAGAGGGAGTTTCTTGTGTGGGTGAATAATTAATCGCCAATAGAGGGCGGGTGTTGAATCACATGAACTTTCACCCATTCTTGGCAGGTCAAAGTTGATTATTATGCGCGCAATCATAATCAGTACTTTGTCATCGGCCTCTTTTGTATATTTACGGTGCAATTCCGTCGCTACTATGGCCACCAAGACACATCGTGTTTTTGTTTACGGGACACTGAAACGCGATAAGCCAAACCATTTCCTGATGAGTAATCCAGAGAATGGGAAATCGCAATACATCGGTGAGGCGCGGAGCGTGGATCGGTGGCCATTGGTGATAGCGACACCGTTTAACATTCCCTTCGTATTAGACAAGAAAGGCCACGGACATGTGAGTATTTTAACAACCACCTCTGTCTTTCCTAGATCAATTGGGGAATGGGATATGCACCGTTATCCGTAGCTCTGTACGGTACAGGTACATGTTTGCGAATGCGGGGTGCTAGTTTTCACAAGGACCGTCACCAAGTCTCAATTTAAATACAGTCGTACCACCAGAAACTTGCAATGTACGCAAGGCTGCGTCACCTTTTGAAGATATTGTGTACGGTAGCCCTTGATTCATGGCGTTGTCAGAATGGGCGTTATTTATACTGGTCGTCAGCTGCCCATTCAACACCGTCATGCAAAATGAAGCGTATTTGTCTAATAAACAATATACGGAATGCGCATGCGTACTGTTACGGATAAATCGTCGTTCTGGCAGTTATAAGTTTGTGTTTGGATCATCTTTATTTATTCAAAACAATGCAAGTTTGTTTTCGGCACATGCCAAGATCTCTAATGTGAATGCCACTTGCGATGTGAATCCAGGGCTATATATAAAAATATATGCAATTAACCAAAATAAATAATTACAAATTATTGCAGATTCTCTTATATGATTATCACTACACAAAAACTTCCTTGTATTTTAATTTAGTTTTTGTTGAATTTCTCATTCTTATAATTTTCCTCATGTCGATAATTATAAACAATTTTGAGAAACCACTGTTTAGTAATTTTTGTTTAATCATTGTTATTTTCAGACTTAATTTTACAGAATTGTCACAAATTTAATTGATTTTCAGATAATACAAGGGGAACTTTTTGACATTGATGACGAAATGTTGAAGTCGTGCGACAAACTAGAAGGTCATCCCAAAGTCTACACAAGAGAACATTTCAATGTTTTGAACATGTCGACTGGTTCACAAGACACTGTGTGGTGCTATCTAATGAAAAATTTTAAAGACGAATTATTGAATTCGCCTATGTTGCAGAAATATGACAGAGAACAGATGAATTTTGTAGTTCCAGGTGAAAGGACAGATTCTAACATAAGTTCCTTTGTTAAAAAACTTAATTAACAGCAATAATTGGAATTATGTAATCTCGATAAAGTAACATGTACTGGAATTTATTCTCATCATCCCAAGTTTGATTAAAAACGACAAATCATGTCCATAACTGATCACTGATCCATTCAAGTTTTATTGAATGATTTTATTACCAAAATGATTGTCAGTTGGTCACATTTGATTAAATTACAAAACCAAAAAAAAACGTTCATGTGTATTTTATGACCAGTCACTGTAGGCCTGATAAAGACATACAGAATAGACACGGTTGAAAACAAAATGACAACCAGTTTGTGATCTTGAATCAGATCTGAAAAAAATAACACTGAATCTGCAGCCAACTCGTCTTAGTGTTTGAGAATTAGGATATGGCCCTGTTTTACATTTAAACTGGCACTATTCTTATCAAATAAGGATTACTGGTACTGTAAACAAGATATTTTTTTTTCTGCATTTCAGAAAGCTGCAAGGTATAGGAGAATATAACTACACATGTTGTGATATAGAACAACTGAATACAATGTTATTTTCCATTTCTGTAACTCATGTAAAGATTTAAATTTCAAAATAAAAAAAAACTAAAGTTCCGAAACAAATTTTAATATTCTTAAAGCCGGAGAGTAGTCACCTGTGCATGCGCCAAATAGCCATAGCATGTCATTGTTTACAAACAAGTGTCTACCCATGAGCCTTTGCATTTTTAGCTTGTTGTTATTGTCCTTTGGGACTGAATTCCCACATGTGTGCAGTTGACGACTCTCCCACTTCAATCAATGCACACTTTCAAAAATCTTGAAACTGATGTACAAGTGTACCACTCACTGCACCACAGGGAAGGACAAATTACACACCAGGACATTTTCATACAAATTTTTAATCAAATATTTTATTTTAAAAGAAACATCTGCATTGATAACAATATATATATCAAACCATCACCACAAAAATGGTGTCTTTAAAGTGTTTACATATTTATACATTACATATTCCAAGAAGTACAAAAATTTGGAAAAAAAAAATATGGGAAAAATAAAATACAAGATTCTTTAAACAGATATGGCTAAACGATGACATCACTGACCCCCCCCCCCCAATTGTGTCTGATTATGTGCAGATTTAGGAAGCATGTGGTTGGCTAGGACTAGACATTACTATTAGCAATGAATCAGCACTATAGTTTACTAATCTGTATATTAGAAAAGTACAGTAGTATCCTGTATATAAGTTAACTTCAACAAAATAGCATCCCCCTCATCACATCGTTATCAAGGCTGTGTAAGGAAAAGGTTATGCAATAGATGTGATATGCAATGAAGTTACATGTAAATTGCAAGAACACAAACACAAGTGCAAATGAATGAGTTGGAGCGAAATGGTTATTCACATCCTTGGCTTGAATGTTTTCTCATCTTTGAAAAGTGTGTATAGTACAGTCCGAACGTATCTGAACTGCCATGCTATCTTTGCCTTCATTTTCTAAATGGTGGTGGTTTTGAAAAGCAAGCTTTTAACTTTTGTAACCTTCCTCCTGCTCAATTTTGTACAAATCATGTCAATTTTGTTTAAAATTACATACAAGAAATTATATACAATTGACAAAATTTATTCAAAAGTTGTTAGGTCATGATATTTCAAACATTCTGATTATTATTTTGCCAAAAAATAATATAAAGAATATTTGCATTTGTGGTACATGATTATTAGTAATATGAGATTATTATGAGGATACCTTAAAGTATGGATGAAGACACAGCTTGAGTATCCATCAACGCGCATCCGAGGTCAATGCGCGTCATACTTTCTGAGTGCATACTTTGAGGTATTCTTGTAATAACCTTATTATTATACATCTTTTCCTTCCAAGAATACATCATGGGAATGCCAAAATCCAAAATGTTTGGAACAGAATCAGCGAACTTCTTTGTGTGGAGTCCATTAAAACTTTGGAGGCAGCCATGTTTGTTTTTATTATTAGAGGACGCTTACGTGCGTAATCATCCATATTTGGAATTCACATTTCCTAATATGGTAGGATGAAAATACCCTGCAAAATTACGGCACGCTGTAACTTATGGCGTTAGGGTGACAGATGTATAAGAATTCTAAACATTTCGTTAAACTGCTAGGTACAATACGTGTTGGTTTCCTACAAGGATGGGTCATTCTGTTCATTATGAAGATCTGGTTGAATACATAGAATTACAATAACGTATTTATTGTATTAGTAGCATATGCGCTTATATGTAAATTACAGAGTTGTGTTTATGGCCAAAATAAGTCGCATTTTAATAATACAAAAAATACAACTGGTGGTTTCCAAATTAGAGAGAGGCTTCTTTTAGAGCAAAAACGGTGATCATTTCAGTTTAGTAGCAAACATGCAGTCTTTAAAATATAATTTTGATATGTTCACACCCCATCGCCATGGAAAGTTACGAATTCTAAAAGTTACTTTTTGTCACCTCGCTTCCACCACGTGCGAATTATAACCTGTATACATTTGTTTACATATATTGTCACAATGTAATATTAACCCCTATTGCCAATGGGGTATTATGTCCATTTTGTCCAAAAAGTAACTAAGAAATTGTAGAGAAATATATAGAAAAAATTAATGTGCAAAAAATTGCTCTAAAAATGTTTTTGGGGACGAATTTCAACACTCTAATGATTAACCTTTGCACCACCAGATTTTCTCGCCCAAATTTGTCTCTAACTTTTTTCTCGTATTCTTCAATATTTCTGGAAATGAAGCTAAATTTTGGAGCCAAAAGACAAAATGAGAGTCAATTTTCAGTTTTTACTCAAAAAATTTGGCTACATTTGTCCCAATTTTCTGAAGGAAAGTGCAGTTTATAAACAGGACTATTTTCCGAATTTGTAGTGAAAAGGGGGAACTGGTGGTGAAAAGGTTAATGCTCATGGGAGACAGAAGCAAAAATGTCATAAAACCAGTCACAGAACCGACACAAAGCTTCAGCAATGACCAAAAACTCATCAACTACATATCCAATACCATCTGCCAAAAGTTTCAGAGAAAAACACCAATATTCACCAACACTACATAATCCTTATTGCTCATCAACTTGCTGGGCTGCCGCCAATCATCAAGTTTTTTTTTTAGGCTGAAAAAAGTGAGCTGTGTTTGGTCAGTACGCAGGTAAACTTGAATTTTCTGGTAAAATGTTGTGAAAATCTTTATCACACGTTTCTAAAAGTAAAGTAAAAAAAAAACATTGAATTATGCAAACAAAGCCAAACCATTTAAGTCTTATGTATGTTTTACATACCCACAAAAAGGATTTTTTTTAACACCAGATGTCAAACACTTACACATGTGCGAGGGAATGCAAAACATATTAATTTTAATAATTTGCCCATCCTGAATAATGCAAAAAAAATATGAAAATATAAAAAATAATGAATTAACTTTATAAGAGTTAATAACACTATTATTAAAGTTCGCACGTTTGAAAATAGTAACAAAAAGAACCTCTACATTAATATTAAAAGTAAATGTACAGTAAATTAAGTATATATTAAAATAATATTAAACTAATGTTAATTTAATTTTATAAACCCCAGAAATACTAACAAAGTAACATGATATGTAAATAACAGGACACTACATAAATATAATCAACATTATGCTAAATATCTCCATAATCTGGAAACTGGTAAATATGGAAGTAAATAAACTGTCAAAGTATGTACGGTAAGTTTCTATGCAGAATAAGATATCAGTTAAAGTGAGGTCAGAGTTCATGATAATTTAGGTCAGTAAAAGTGTAGTAGCAGATAAGGGCAGTGTTTCTAATAATAATAATTCCTCTTTTGAAGTGATGTGTTCGATAATAGGTAGTTTAAATTAAAATTGTGGTTTTAGAAACAGGCAATTTCAAATACAATTACAATACAACAAAAGAGGTGTAGCATGGTAAATGTCTGTCTTTGTACTCGTTGTCTGTGTTGGTGGTATAACTTACATTTGTATTCTGTGGTTATAACTAAAGTAGACTGGCACAGTCTGGGTGATTTATTTCTTTTTAAAGTTTAAATGGAGGTGTTTACGCGAAATCAGCTGTAACCGCGTTCACCCCAAATTTCGCTTTTTATTATTATAATTTAACTGAAAAAAAATCACCACAGCTGGGCCACTCTACAACTAAATCAATTGTACCCAATAGCTTTCAAAGTTATTTGAAAGATTGAATTATTCTAGATTAGACCAACAATTTAAATCCAAATCTGAAATTAAATGAGGTATTTTAAAATATAAAAAAATAAGGTCCGAGTTCAAAAACAAATCATTTCAAAAGAATTGTTAAGTGCAAAACTATAAATTAACATATCAATCAAATTTGGCAGTTTTAAATTAAAATACTGATAGTTTAAAGTACTTGATTATAACTTACATTATAAGGCAGTGAAAATAAATTTAAATAAACCTGACGCAAATGTCAATATACTACAATTGTTAAAACTACCTTTTTCTCTAAAATTTGATTTTAATCGAAGTACTCAGAAAAATTATCTATTTAGAATAAAATTGTGTTGTAGTTTAAATATCGATATGACTTATTTTGTAATTCACTGAACTTCAACCAATTAACTTTTTGGTCGAAAATTTACAAAGAAATTATAGAAAAATATCTATATCTTACATCAATGTTGTGACAGGAAGTAGCAAGTAGCAAACCAGTAAAAAAAAAATTAGAAAAAAGTGCCATTGTTAATTAAGATGAAAAAAAAAATAATGAAATTTTTTCAACTGGTTTCATTTTCACGCCATTATATCCTATATTTTTAATATTTATTATTTTCTAGACACTTGATTAATATCAATCCAGTGAAACCTTGAATAGAACAGTGTCGTTTTT